ATGTAGTTGCTACTGAAATGTCACCTCTCTGGAGCTTATATTTGATGCTCCTGTAAGTGCCTTTCCAGCCCTTATTCCCTCATCTTGATTTATTTTCCTTGGTGGAAAGATCACCGTGTATATGTGTGTGTGTGTGTGTGTGTGTGTGTGTGTGTGTGTGTGTTTGCATGTGAGCACACTCGAGCAATTGATTCTATATGGCGTTCTCAACTAGTATGGTGCAATCTCCATTCGGGTCAGACTTGGCATTACATGCTGGACTAAAGTCCTGGTGAATGGAACATAAAAGGAGAAGCATATAGAAGAACATAATGCAAATATGTGAACTACAAATGAGACAGGTGTGGATGTGACAATTCTGCTCCTTTCTAGTTGTAGTAGATTTGTAATAAGTACAAAAATAACAATGTATTTTTGTAAAATAGATTGGTAATAAGTATAAAAATGATAATGTATCTTTGATCCTTTATTTAACTAGCTTCAAGTTAGGGGGAGCATTACTGGGAGAGGTGCTATAGTGACTCTGGAGACTGTGTGACAGAAGATACACATGGTATCCAACACAGGAGTAGAGGACTATTGTCTTATTTGCTTGCACATTAAGTTATCAACTTTACACTCATGTTGCTCTGTTTCATTTTTATGAGAGTGTTGTGAAAATTGGCAGAGATAAAGTGTGTGCCATTGCCTACAAAAATGTCTAGTATACAAGGGGACGCTAAGAAAATGTTTGCTAGACTTAGCACATGGCCACTCTCATTTCCCTCCCAGGAACCTGCTGAACTCTCCTGGTGTTCTAGGTCTCTTAATAGGAGAGAAGCACATGGAACTGCTGGACTGGGCTCTTCCATAGCTCACAGTGACAACAAGGAACACAAAGCAACTTTGACCGTAACTAAAATGGTTCCATTTATTGTGCCCTTTCTGTTGGCCAGGAGTCATCCTAATCCAACAGTCAGCTTTATGTGATAGAATCATGAGGCTCCAGGAAAAGACACTTCTCAGGAGCAAGTACCAGAAGTTTTGAAATTTTTACCTTTCTTTGTGTGAACACATCTATGAACAACAAGTGAGGTGCGTCCATGGGGACGCTTGCACGGGAATGATCATGGCAGCTTGATTCATAGCATTCAGTGCCTGGAAACAGCTCACATGCCCAGCAGTAAAATGATGATTAACCAGGGTGGCACATTCTTACAATGCAATGCTAATTTGTGTAAAAAATACAGATGAATCTCAAAAACAAAAAACAAAAAACACCCTGCTGAATGCTTCTGAGGAGGAAAAGAGAGAACTATGTAGGGTGGAACATGGAGAGAAGACACTCAAAGGCAAGGGCAATATTGTTGTTTGACTAAGAAGACCAACACAGATGCAGCTCACATAAAATTCTGTAGTTTGTGTGAATGATAGAATTATTTTGTATATAGTAAAAATTGACACCTGTAATCCTAGTCTGAAGAAGGAGAATCACTGAAAGCTCAAGGTCAGATGGGTCTACCTACCCTGCCAAGATGTTGGTTTAAAAATATAGAAAGAAAGAAAGAAAGAAAGAAAGAAAGAAAGAAAGAAAGAAAGAAAGAAAGAAAGAGGGAGGGAGGAAGGAAAGAAAGAGAGAAGGAAGGAATAAAAAAGAAAGAAAAAGGAAGGAAGGAAGAAAGAAAGAAAGAAAGAAAGAAAGAAAGAAAGAAAGAAAGAAAGAAAGAAAGAAAGAAAGAAAGAAAGAAACTAGAGAACTAGAGTTGGGCTGGAAAATGTAGCTCACTGTAAATTTTATACCTACCGTGCCTGAGACCATGGGTTCCACAACCAGTGCCAAAAGAAAAAGAAAAAGACAAAGAAAAGAATAACTAAACACAATAAATTAATATTTTAAGTAGTTTTTGTTAAACTCAATGTTGAATCGTTATAGTTTTTGTTTAAACACCAAGAAAACCTAAAGGAAGAAACTATTTGTGGCTGACATCAGCCCAATACTCCAGAGCAAGATGCAGGAAGAGAAGTGCTTACTTGGCACATAGGAGACACTTCCAAATACATAACCTCATCCAGTAACCTCAGCAGCTCCCGAAACTCAGCATCCTGGTAGTCAAAGCGCTCCCCAAAGATGATCGAGCAAATTATATTGGAAACTGCATTGTTGATCTTGAAGTGAGGGTTGAAAGGCTGTCCTAGAGGTGGACAAAGGAAGAGATGAGTCCTTCAAAAATCTACTAGATTGTCTCTATATTTTTACAGAAAGTCTGCTCTACATAACTAATTGAGAAGCATATTTGAAGCTTTACCTAGAGCATCTAACATATGCTAAGAATTCGTTACATGTTATGATAAGTAAATTTATGATCAGTACTTAAACAGTAACGTATTTAATGCATGTCTAACTGTGTCTTCCTTAAGCAGAGAGTCAGTGGAAGGTATGCACTTTGCTAACTCAGGGCCTATAACAGTGCTGGGCATAGGGATTGGATTTAGGTTTTTAATAAACTTCTGGTCAATGAATGGTTCGGTCCCAACTTCCCATACCTAAGCTATGAAATGCTCACCTTTCTCCTCTGCTATGACCTCAGCAAGGTGGTGGGCTTCTTCCTGGATGCGTTCCTCTATGGTCTTCTTTCCTAAACCGAAGTTCCTTAGTGTGGTCAGGGCGAACCTTCTTTGTTCCTTCCATGTTTGGCCACTGGACATGATCAGTCCTGGAGAAATGGAAGCCGACATGATGTTATTCCGATACCACTGTGCAAGTACCTGGTAAGTGTATGGACATGTGCATTAGATAAAAAGGAGGAGGGACACTAATATACTGTGAATTTATTCATAGCTGTACTCCCAGAGCAATGAGCAAAATTGTAACATTTCCTGGATAGCTTTTACTAACTGTTCACATGGTAGCATTTTTATATAGTTTGCCATTTGATGACCACAGAAACAATACAGGGTAGTTTTAAGTAACATAATTTCCAGTCTATTTTACTCAAGAGAAATCTAAGGAACTGGAAAGAAAGGGTGAAGTAATGTTGCAAGTTAACACAGTTCATAAGTGGATGTCCAAATTCTAGTCCACCTGTGTCCAAGGCCCATGCAGTGCTTATTTAGTTAAATGCTAGGATTAAGCTAAAGATCAGTAATGCAGACAAAGATTAGCCAAAGCCCACAGGCATAAACAGGCACAAAAAGGATTTATAGGGGAAGTCCTACCTAAACTTGGCCTTAAAAGATGGGGAATAATTCAAGAAAGCAAGAAGAAATTCTATATTCAGCACAGAAAGACCAGCACAGGCAAGGATGCAGAATGCCATGTTGTGTTCCATAAACCGTTGTTTCATAACACCGGCAATGCCAAGCTCTTTTCCATGTTTTCATTTCTAGACCATTCTTCAACTCCTTTATGCTCCTGTGTCTGCCCTTCACGGTCACATTGAAGTGGTCCTCTTTGCTGTGAATCCAGTGGAATCCTCAACCTCATCTCAAGTGTTTTTTTTCTCAGCTGTCTCCACATTTCTTCTTTGAATGACTCCTTTCCAGTAGTTGTCAAGAGAGCACACACACACAAGCTTTTTCCTAAATCTCTGTGAAGAAAGTATGATTTTGCGGTTCATTTTCTTGAATGAAATCTTGAAATGGTGGTTCAAGTCCCTAGTCTCCGCTCTTCGATTCGCACATTCTGCTTTTGGAAATCCTATCACCATCTATGTCTCTCCCAGAACTCTGTATTCATTACTGCTGCCTTCTTGATTTTGCCAATCTGAAGCACTGCAAACCCGGCACATCCATGCTGAAATCTTGACTTTTTCCATACTACTCCCAACAAAAGCTGATCCTACCCAAATACTTTCCTGTCCTCTGAGTGGTCCTCTTTCCATCAGGTACCTGTGTGGGAAGCACTTCAACAACTCACTGTCTCCACATCGAGGTCATCGTGTCTTACTAGGATTCCCTGGTGATTACCTGAAATCCATGCAATGTCACATTACCATCCTTTCCTAACACACGGTCCTTTCTTCCCTCCTGCCTGGTCTAAGGTGTCACTTTCTGTGAGCTAAAATCTACAAAAGTCTCCTGCTATCTCAATTGCATTCTTGTTGTGCCATCCTAGTGAGTCTTAATAATGTTTTATGTAAGATTTTTTTTCTCCACTTAAAATCATTCCAGACCCTACACTGTCCTTAGCATGAAAACCAATGTCCTTAACAAGAACTTATACTCATATCTTTTTTTCTACATTAGATTCTCCCAACAAGTGTTTCATAAACCTTTTTTTTTATTATTGCAGTTCATGGATGCTGTGCTTCTCTCTGGATAGCATGACAGTCACAGAGGACATGCATCAGATCCAGTCTTCTCATTCTTCTATCATTTATTCCTAGCACTGGGCTTCCTGTGGAAGTAAATGCCTGTAGAATTAGTTCATGAACTATTTCAAAGAGGAATTGGAAACTTCTGGAAAGGATGCTTTATAGTTTAGTAGACTGAGGTTTTGATTTCAAAATTTAAATGTTTAAGTTTATTTAAGGATGCTTTTAATTATCCACGTCAACTTGCTCTAATATGGATTAGAAAGTGTTAGACACACTGTGTGATAGGGACTTAAAGATAGAGAACAAAAAACTAGAAATAGAGGCAGCAGCATAATGAAGCAGAGTCACATCCATTTTCTAAGGTAAGAGGTTCTGAATGGGGAAACAGAAAGACACAAGTCACTGCATCCTCCTCTGCTCTGAATGCCTGACATGGTCACTTTATGATCGAGGCACGCAGAGTGAGTCCTGCAGGATATGTGGATCTTTCCAGATCTTCATCTAGGCCAACACTCTGAAGTCCTCAAGGGAGAACATCCATTAGGGTAAGCACCCAGCCAGCTTCCTCTGATAGGAAAAATTTCATAATGTGATGGTTTGGGGAAGTTTAGAAAAATTAGAGACAGAGGCACTTTTGTCATACTGTGCACATCTCCAATCTACTTTCCATGGTCTATAAACTTACCATTTTTACCGAATACACGTTCTCGAATAGGGTTCATGGGACGGTTCATAAAGTTCTGTTCTGTGTGGGTAAGAACTTCTTTGATTAAAGGCAGTCCAGTTACAACCACGGCAGGCAGGTAAGCCAAGTTCAGACTAACAAGGTTGCCATATTTCTTCACGTGCTAAAAAACAGTGAAATAATCAGAGTTGAATATGCACATGTTCATGTGTCCAGGGACAGAGGGCAAGTACATCAAAAGGGCTTGTCTTGAAGGGATTCTGGCTGGGTTTGTGCAGGCAGCTGGCTGCACCT